TTGAACCAGGACTAAAATCTTCAGCATAATTCTAGAAAAAAAACAGTTACAGAGAGCAAAGCATATCTTGACAATAAACATTTGGATCTGATGTGGCGAGATACAACAGGGAGCATCCTGCATAGGCAGCTAAGGGCAGACGCAACAGGGAACACAGAGCAACCGAAGTGGGAAGGTGAGCTGAGAACTAGTCCGTGAAGCTGAGAATCATGATTCTGATGGTAACATGCGATTACTACCTGGCAGGAGCTGGAGCTGGAGTGAGCCCAGCACTCCCACTGACAGCAGCTGCAAAGAGGCAGGAGAGCCAACCAGGACAGATCCTGCCCTGCAACTTTTTGTAATACAGCCAGGAAGGGATAAGCCTTTACTCTTGCTGTAACGCTTAGTTGTTACATCTAAAATTTAGTGCTAAATATGCAATTATTATAATGAAGATGCAGTTTGCAATCTACCTTTCCACAGATTTAGAAGCATTTAAGGTAGTGATAATCCTTTCTGTTAATATCTTAATTAACACTTAACTATGACTAGCTGTAATGTAGTATTTTACCTAGTTCTCTAATCTGGTTCTAAAACATATTTTTAGCACTTTTAAAATAATAAAATAACAGCTAAACTTTTATTTTTAAAATTTAGTTCAAATAACTGCTGTATTTTCCAGAAAGCAAGGGATACTGTCCAGAGTGATGTCATTTTGCTCTTAATCCATACACACACAGTTCCTGCTCAAGTAAATTAATTCACCACCTCGCAAAAAAAAAAAAGTGAAAATACAATCTTCAAATACAGACACAATGTTTTACTGCTGACAACTTCCGAGTAATTACAAAAATTGGTCTTTATTTACAGACTTCAATTCAAATAGTTTCATTATATTATTCTGCCAGGTGCATTTCAGCTCTCTTGCCTTTTTTCTGGTAGTTTTTTGGTTTGGGTTGGGTTTTTGGTCAATATATTTCTAAACCTATTTAAAATGAAAGGAAAATTAAATCCTCACTACATCATGGTTTCAGATCCAATCCATTAGAGGACTTTGAGATGAGAAAAGAATGCATTCCTTGAAGTATGTTTGATAAAATCATAGGAAAAAAAAGGTAAAATGCATGCAGACATAGCACCCACATCCTCCCAGATTTCATCTGCATGATGTCCAGTTTTAATGCATAAGCTACCAGCAACTTAAAAGAGGGGTTTACATATACACAGCTTAATCACTATTGTAATCTTACATGAGATTACAACAGCCATTAAAATGTTCTTTTGCAAACAGTGTTACTGGTATTAGCTAAAGTGCTAGTTTGTCTTGTACCAACAGTAACAAAAGGTGTATAAAAACATCCAAAAAGTAGGGAAAAGCATGGCTCTAACAATTAATGACAATTGCAAAAAATTTCATGATCAGAACTGTGCAGTGCTGCTTTGCACTTCTTGAACAACCTGCAGTGCAATAATGTTACTTGAAAAAAAAAAAATTCATTCATCCTCTTCCTTCAACTGCTTGTTTACTTTTCCTGAGGAGGTAGAAATGACACCAGAGCCAGATCTACCAGAGACTAAGCTGGCTATAGCAACTATTAGCAATTTCTGCTGCAGTTGTGTGACAACACAGCTCCTCTGTATTTCCCCGCAGAAAATTCTCATTTTCCAGGTTAAGAACGATGAGAACTCAGAAAAGGGGTAGAATCCCTTAGGGATTATATAAATCTTCATTATGTGCCTAGAGCACAGATGCTAAGGCACTGTATGCATGAGTAAGAACTAAAGTATGCCAAACACAATTTATTAGAGGTAGGCTGACACTTTTTTGATCTAAAAACACATTGCTAGTCCTCACTATTCAAACTAATAGTCCTTCACTAGTTGGACTAGTCCTACTACAATTAGTCCTTCACAGCAAAAAGATAAAACAAGGGGACTAGATAGACAGGACAAGATTTCCTGCAGTATTCCCATTTTCTTCTTGAAAAATTCAAACATGCCTCCTCAACAGACATAGCTGGGATGGTAAAGGTTACATCAGTTACAAAGTCAGCTTTTTTTTTTTTTTTTTTTTCAGTTCTTTTTTCCCCCTCCTTTAGAAGAGAGTATTTGTTCCTTCCTACAGGAAGGGTGGCAGGAAGTGGCAGAGAAAGGAAACATGCTAAAATAGCTGTCACTGTCCCCTGTCCCCATGGGAAGAAGAACTTGCTAAGATTGGCTATCCAAATTAAAGCCTCTGGATCTGTAGATAAGGGTCCAAATTACTGTGCAGTATTATTAAGTTCAATTTCATGTCACCAGATCTTAGCAGAATTTTCAAAGTAAAAACTATGTTACACATCACGGCACTGTAAAGAAACAAAATACTAACAATGTACTTTAGTAAGTGTTATCTACAGCTTTTACGAAGGAAACTACTTTGCTTAAAAACTAAATTCAATTTATATTTATATTTTACTATTATTTTAAAGTAACTGGATAAGTTAGAAACAACTATTGGTAAAAATATGCATCAGTGAAGGAGAAATGCTTACCCACGATTCAGCATCATGCTCCTCATGCAACACATTAAGTTTCACTGTGTAAACACTAGGAAAAAAAAAAATCACTTGCTTCAACAACTGCAGAGCAAAATAACTATCCTTCAGATGAAAGTTAATTTTATCCTATTTAATTACATACTGTTACCAATTTAAACCCTGCCCTAGAACATTGAGTTTACCATGCTGTCTTGCACATGTGATGGACATGTGTCGTTTATTAGGTTTTTTCATTATTTTTGGAGTGGTGTTAATTGCTCTGCATATGTATTTTTTCCTTCTAGTATAACAATGACTGTGTGTGGCACTGCTTTGTGCACCATTACACCATACCCTCAGCTTTAAAATGGAGTACTTGCAGTTATGGAAGAAGTGACGCTACAAAATTCCTTCTACATTTCGGAGACCTGCAAGAGAATTTTTCTGTCAGCTCCAGATAAGCTGCTGCAGGAAGAAAAGTTGTTGTGGTCAACACTGCAGCTCTGTATGTTGAATGGATCTGATGATCCCAAAATCTTAGAACGTGTAAGGCATGTGCCTACTACATGGTAGGATTTCAAGACTTGAACAGCAGCTCTGAAGGGACTACAATACAATCAAACATTTGAGACAGAACAGATTCCATTATTACTTAGGTCACTATACATGGTCCCCACTCTGTCCACACAGTGTCTTTTTATATACACTGAATTCGGTCAAAAACCCCACAGATCAGGAAAAGAAAGATACAATCAGGGTCTGCATTTCTATTGCCATGGTACTGCATGGCAAACCTGTATTCTTGAAGTACCGAAATAAAAAATGAGCATATTCCTGAGACATGCCAAATACCCACCAACATCAACTAGACAGGACTGATAATAGCTTGGTATCTTGCAAGACCAAAGTCATTTAGCAAGACTGCTAAATGTCAGCTTTTAAACTCTTGAGTATTTACATTTAACTATTTCAAGGGGGGCAGAAAAAAAAAAAAGAAAAACCAACAGCACACATACCAAGGTTTAGACTTAAAATCTCCATATTGTCCTTCATAAATGAAGTGAGCATGAAGTAATACCTATTTCCTTTTAAAAATAACAAAAGTAAGAATCAAGTATAATGAAAGCACATCAAGAACCAAACTGTACAATTTCTGAACTGCACTGTTTATTTTGCTGCTTGAAACCTAAGTGACAGTATGCCACTATAATTATGGGGTTTCTTCTAAACCTTTACTACACTGCAGGTACAGAAATATACGGACACATTTTTGGAGAACTGACATTTTGCAAAATGCAGCAAACATTTCAATTTATACATGAGAAAAGGAAGTGTTCAAAAGGGTATGCATTTCAAGTTATTGCAGGTTATTTCTGTGAGAGAATTTCTGCAGGTAAAACAAGTTTAAATTTAACCAACAGTAACGTGTCAGTGTATTTAAAATCATGACAAAAATCTTCTCTCTGGTTATTAATCGCCCTTTGACAAATTACTAGGATGTTGTATGTTTAGGGCAAGATGTCGATACAGCATAAATCCCGTGGCATTTTGGTTTTCTTCTGGAGATTAAAGCTGTTTTTTTTCTTGGGATAAATGCAGCAGCAAAACACAAACCAGCTGATCAAAAAAGCACTTCTGCCATAACTCCAATAATTTCAGGGCACACCAACCGACAGTAGTTTTGCCATTCCCAGTTCTTTTAAGGTTTACATCACCGCACTGTTGCCTGAAGTACGTTTGTCAAAGCTTGTTTTCTGTTAGGCCAGCTTGCTGACTACAGCCTGGTTGAGAGAATTTAGTTGGTTGGTCCATTTATCTAATGCGGTATACCGTGCACCACCTCTCTTCTGATGATCCAGTTCTAGGAGCTGGTTGACTTGATCAATTCGGCCATGTATAGTGCTAGAAGTAAATAAATACATAACTATAAATTGTTAATGCACATGGAAGTACGAGCTAACAATAAATCAAAGATAAAATAAGAGGTCTTCTTACGCAAGAGAGACACAAAGTCCATTTCAGAATTCAGCACTTTTAGAAGATACTGTCCCGGGCAGTAGCACCTATTTACTTGTCATCATGACTGGAAATCGAATGAGCTAATTGATTGGGCAATGCCTATTTTATCTGCCTAGCTATGACCCACACATAAAGCCTGAAGCCATATGAGGTAAACCGTTCTTGAAAGTCAAGGAACCATGAAAAATGGAGATTTATGTAAAAATGAATTAAAATATAAACCCATGTATGGATTATATTTTCCTAGTAGATAAAACAAGTTACTCTCCAAAAAAAGATTTTACAAACTGTATTTAAGTTTTTCCATTCAAGGAGAGCAGACTACATTGTCGACTTGAAAACATACTCAAAAATATACATAAGTAACAATTACGAAGAAGAAAATTTTTCATAATTTCATAATAATTTGAGTAATTTATTACATATTTCAAAATCAAATTAAAAACATGCCATTCAGTCTCCCTGTATAATTTTATTGGCTCACATCTTACAAATACACTTCTCATAAGCCAAGCAAATACAAAGTCAGCATCATTACCTTTTGGTTCTAGAATCAATCGTCACAATGCACAAAAATATTTTTTGCTGCTTCTTGTATACTTTGATTATTTTAAAGTAATCAAAGATCAGAAATCAAAAATAAAGTACATACTTATCCAATATGCACTGCACAAGCAAGCTTTCCACATCAGCTACATCTATGTTTAACTCCTACAAGAAAAAGAAAATTCATTATGCTGCTACTCTGTTTTGCAACATTAAATTCTTCCCATCTTTATTTTCATGTACAGAATTTGGTTTCGTCTGTTTCTTACTGTTCAAAAGTACAATTCAATAATGATGTTCAAGGAAAAGAATTCCACCAAAAGTATATGTAGCCAATGATCAAGAGATCGGTAATCCCTCAAATAAGGCTGAAAATGTTAAAGCAAAATTAGCTTTCTGGAAGTTTCAGAAATTAGTTCCTTTGCTGACTTACCAAAAAAAAAAACCAAACCCCACAAACGAAAAACAATCCACCAAAAAAACCCCACCACACTACCTCGAAAGAACCCCAGGAAATAAAATAAGACAATAATTATCAGAAAAGAATGGGTCTGTACTCAAAACCATCTTGAGGGCTAATTGCATCTT